GATGTATTATTAATATATAAATTTTATATATTATTAATAAATTATATTATATTATTTTATTAAAAAATAAATATATAAAAATTTATTCATTAATAAGTTGGTAAGATCCGATTTATCTTATTAAAAAATAATATCATTTGATTTATTAACAGTGTATAAAATTTATACATTAATAATAAATCAAATATAAATAAAAAAGATCTCACGAATGTATGTCATTAAGTCCTTTTATGATTACTTGTAAAATGAATTCAAGATTAATTAATTTCAACTCAAATTAAAACTAATTTAAAAATAAAAAAAGAAGTTGCAAGTATAGAATTTGAATATTCATTTTATCAATATCATATTTTAAAAGTGATTATATAAATTAATTAAACTAAAATTTAAACTGTCTGAATTTTTTACTTTCATATTCATTATTTTACTAATCTGTTTGTCCTTTGGCAGACCATACAATAACAACCATAAAGTCTTGGATTAATAATTTAACCTTGAATATTCTTTTTTTTTTTTTTTAATTTCTAAGAGAGGTAGACCTTACAATTACCATTGTTCACCTTACACCTGGTTTACTAAACTTGGTTTAAACAATAATGTGGTAAAATTTACCAACAGTCCTGAGTTGCATAGTAAATTATTGAATTTTTATTTTCAGTGAATATGGCTCAATCCTTAACAATCTCAAATAATAATGTGATAAAAATTTAGTAAACTATGTTGGTGAAACCAACCATAAAAATTTGAAACTGTGACTTGCACCTCTTCGTTGAAGGTAGAAGTGCTAAGCCGAAACATATCATTACATAGCCATTGAAAACCGAAATAACTGGGCTGGACCTGTTATGAAAAGTGATCCTATGATTGATCCTTCTTGATAGAATAGGGCCACCCTCTAAACCCATAAACAAATATTTGGACGAAAAAAGCCATTAATTCTCAATCTCAATCTTAATCCACATTGACAAACTAACCTCGTGATCTCAAGTCTTTGCCCAACCATTCTACTATCTTCCCCAGATCACTTCCCTAGGCAACATACCTAACCTTCGTTGTTGATGTTTTTTTTTTTTTAATCCCTTCTTCATGTCATGTTTTTGGAAATTTAGCTGCTGTATCAAAAATGGATTTTTAGTGGTCTTACCTGGCAGGCTAAGGAAATTATCCATCTGAAATCTTTTATTTTGGTAGCTATGTTTGGGATGATTATAGTAATTTTAATTTTCATTAATATCTCTTTAATCTTGAGTTGAATACGTACACTTTATTTTGTAAGAAAGAAAGAAAAAATAACAAAAAAAATTAATACATAATGAATCTCAATCATAAAGTTAAAAAAAAAAGCATCTTCCTTACCAAACATAAATTAAAAATTATTTTATTGGAAATTTGACCATGGAATCAAAGTTTATATACATTCTACGGATAAAGTTGATAACCCGTTGGACAAAAGACAATCTTAATATCTAGTTTTAAAGGTCAACAGAAAGTTTTGATACCTTTTTAAGTCTCGTATTTAAAGCTGGTCATATATGAGTACTATTCAAATTTATGATGGTTTTATTTAATTCATTTATTGATTGTTTATTTTTTTAATGTAATAATTATATAATATATATGTTGATTTATGTTTTATTAAATTATAATTTTGTATAATAATCTCATTTAAAAAAAATACTAGCTTAGGCTTTGTTTGGAATACATCGCATCATTGGGTGTAGTGCATTTTGTTATGAAAAGTAATGTCAATAGCAACTTTGAAATCCAACAATATCATGGCACATTTTGTTTTTCGTCCATTATTCGTTGGAGTTTGAAGCTCAAGTCTACCACCATCCCAACTTCTTTAATTTTTTTTTTTTTTAAATTATTCTCCTTTAACTTTATAACTCTTAACTTTTTATTTTTTTAATTATTTTCCATTTTAATTTAAAATGTACAAAGTAATTTTTGTTAATTTAATATAAAAATAAAATTTATTATTCCACAATAAATAAATAAATAAATAAATTTTAAAATTATTTATTAATTTAATAAATATTAAATAAGTTAACATTTTTATTACGTATAATTTTTAGTCAATATTTTTAATGATTATTTTTTATTAAAATTTATCTCATCATCTTTACTATTTTTATATCCAAAAACATGTTCTATTATTAATTTTAATATTATTATCACAGTAATTAATCTCATCTCTATTATTATTTTCAATCTTCATATCATAAATTTTATTTTATTTTAAATTAAAAAATAAAGGGTAATTTTGTAAATAAGATTATTTCATTTAATGCCTATTGATCCAACATTGAATTAATCTATTGTATAAAGAAGGAAGGTGCATGGAAATAACCCGACTTGTTTGTTTGTGTGTTTTCAAGGTGTTTGTAGGTCAAGGGACTTAACTTTTAGCTAACACATATTGGAAAAGATTACTTATTGGACAAAGAAATGTCCATACTTCTTCCTATATATTGCTTTCTTTGACTGTAATAGTCTTTGATTAGTGAAATATCATTTGCTTTCAAGATAAAAAAAAAATATGAAACTTACTGTTGCTAATCCAAAATCAAATTTTATTAAAATAAAGAACATTCATCAATCAAAATAATGAAATTTAAGAATCTTAATATCCTTATAACAAAGTTTTTCGGAAATATGTATCAACAAAAGGGATTAAAGTTGGAAAAAAAAAAATCATGGGAAACATTACTATTTTCTTCTTGTGACGGGCATTAGTACTATTTTCTTTTTGGTAATTTTACTTTCTTACCATTTTTTTAACTTTAATGTTACAGTTATTATTTCAAATACGGTGAAGGTGAATATGAATTCTAAAACTATTTTTAAAAGATTAAATTTAATAAGTTTTGAATTCATTTATTAATATTTATAATTTTTTTTATTTATATGTTACAGATTGTAGTCTTTTTGGTAAAAAATCATAATAAAAATGTTAAAGAATCTTGATTATAATATAATAGATATTATCTCTTTAAAATAATTATATTATATATTATAACATATATATACAAACCTAATAAAATTTACTTATGTGGATACTTAGGTGGATAGTTTATTTAAACGACACATATGATAATAATAAATAATTATAATATATATTATCAAAATAATTAAATATAAAAATTTTTTAAACTAAATCATTAAAGAATAATAAATATTTAAATATTAATTTGAAAACGGATAAAAAATATATGATTATTTATTTTATTTAATGTTATTCAAATCCACTTAAAACATTCAAATTTATTTAAATTAATACGAGCATCATAAATTACTATTTAAAAATTTTGGTTTAAAAACTTGAAAATATCTATCTTAATATATTTTTTAAATATCCAATTAAATAAGTAGATAAAAACACCCATTTAAATGAATAGATTAAATCATGTTCAACTATTTATATTTTAAAATATTTGATATTGATTGAAAACATAATAGATTTTTGCTATTCTATTATATCTAAAACATTTTTCTTTACTTTTTCCATTTCATTTTTTTTTCAAATTCTTCATTTAAAAGTATTTTTTTCATTCATATTTCTTTTTGAAAACTTTATTTTCTCCCTTAAATTTCTCTATTTTTATTTTCTTTTTACAATGGTTTATACGAACAATTAGAATAAATAATGGATTTTTTAAGAAAATAGAAACAATTTTTTTGTCTCATTGAGCATTTGATTTACTTTTTAAAAGGTTTTTATTTCTTAATTTTCATATAATTTTTGGTTAATATATATAAGTCATATTGTTGCTACTCTAAATTTTATTATATTATGGTGAAAAAAATTTAAATTAGAGTTTTTTGATCATAAGTACATGTACGCATAGAAAAGATAAATATTTAGAAGATTGAGGAATGGTTTAGAATTTAAAGAATTTTTCTTGATTCAACTTTCAAAATCATATTTTTGTATTTAATTTAAATTTTTTTATAGGCTTTATTATTAAATTTTAATTACACTTTATCTTAATTATTAGTTTTTCTTATAATTTTTTAGGATCTGTAAATACTCACTATATTTGCATTTTATGTAAACCTTTTTTTTTATATATATAGCAAATTTATCTTTTTTACCAATTAAGCAATTAAATTTATAAAACGAATTTAATTAAAAATGTTAATATTTTAAATATTTACTAATATACTTTTCTAAATTAAGAGGATGTCAAAAAGTTATTAAAAAATTTTGTTGATAAATTATATTTTTATTTTGAAATTTTGTACTTTTAATTTATGAAATTAAAAATCAAATAAAAAATTTAACATTAAATATATAAATTTAATTAAAAATAAAAAAGAGAAAAAATTCAAATATTTAGTGATAAAAATAAAATTTTGAATCTACAAAATTTTTTGTAGATATTTATTGAATTAAATAAAATATTATTATAAATATAAAAAGCCCATGCATTTGCATGGATAAAAAACTAGTTATATAAAGAAATTAATATTCATTTAAAATTTAAATATATCTCTCCCTCTTCTTGCAAGTTTAAAATTAAAATATTTTTAAAGAACAATGTAACATGTTTAAGCACGAAAAAGCATTTTTTTGGCAACTTAAAATTTGAAATTCCAAAATCCAAAAAGATTATTATAATATGAAAGGAAAAATGGAAGAATGAAACGATTATAACCATTTCTTAATCAAGATTAGGCTACCCACCAAAATAGATTTAGGCTAAAACAAGGGCACAAAATAGAAATAAAATAGAATGGGTGCCAAGCATAAAAAAGAAACAAATTTGGTGTTGATTCATAAATATTAAAGAAGAGAAGCCCCACAAGGGAAAAGCGGTAGAATTTTATTTTCTACTGAATTTACGAATTACTCCCTACTAACCTCACCTAAACTCACAGATTTCTGGATAAAACTTGGTGTAATTTGGAGCAAGTAATAAGGTTATAATGATAATTTGAAGTTAAAGTCGTGGCATGAAATCAGCCTCATTTTGGAAATTAGATAAGTTGAAAGGGCTTTCTGGGTAAATTCAACTAACGAAGCCATTATGATATCTGCAACAGCAAACCAAATCCACCCAAAGAAAAGAAAAAGAAAATAAATTCAATTGAAAAATTTAAAAATGAAAAAAGAGAAAGTTCTGAAAAAACTAATAAACAGTTTTTGGGATTGCAGGTGTTTCAATCTATCTTTCCCTTTCTTTATTCTTTCTCTTTTTTTTTTTTAATTATAAATATAATTTTCATTTTTCTACATGGATTCTTCTTTTTCTAGTTTTTATTAATGTAACAAGTTCTCTTTATTTTTTTGTTTTAAAGTTTTTTTTTTTGGGGTTCATAGTGTAATAATGGGTTAATATTTTTATTTTCTGGGTAGCTACTAAAACCTGGAGAGAAGCAGCTCGGACTAGTACTTAGGAATCTGGAGCTGTTCTCAAGTGTTTTTGGGCAGTTCTTGGACTCAACAAGATGTCTCAAACCAACTGGGAAGCTGATAAAATGTAAGTCTTCTCTTTCCTGTCTTCTTATTAAAGTTCACTTTTTTGGGTTTTCAATTTTTTTTTTTTTTTTTAGTTTCTAATGTGGCTTTTAAGTTATTCCTTTTTTTTTTTGGCTTGATTTGGGTTCTGGGTATGTAAGCTTTTCTGGGTTTTTGCTTGTTCTTTTTGAAGTCTTTTCGATTCTAAGTTTAGTTCTTTGAAGATGGTCTTTGTTAGGGTTTGGTTTGTTTTGGAACTTCTGGTTCCTGTTCTGCTGTTTTGCTTTATTTTTGTTCTTTCTTTCTTTTCTTTTTTTAAATAAATAAATCTGGTTTAAGTTTTTAATGTTTGATGTCAGTGCACCGTTTTGAAAAGACTGTTGCATCAAAAAGTAAAATTTCTCCTACGCTTTCTGTTCTTTCCGAGTCTTTTTTGGCAATATCATGTTAAATTCCAAAATTGTACAAAGGTGTTGTTCATCAGATTTGATTATAAAAGGTTTAAGTTCTTTTACTATGGATTTGGTTTTCTTAGCTGATAGTGTTGCAGTTATTACGACCTAACGTGATTCCTTTTTTGGCCTGTCATATAGCTGACCCCAAAGTGATGGGATACAAGGCTTAGTTTGTTGTTGTTATTGTTGTTTTATAGTGTTGCAGTTGTGCTTGTAAATTTTGATTTCTTGATCTCTTAACTCTTAAGTGATACCCTATGGCCATGTATTTTCCCAAAACAGGTTAGATGTGTATATCCACGATTATTTAGTAAAGAGAGATTTAAAGGCTTCAGCTCAGGCTTTTCAAGCTGAAGGAAAAGTATCATCAGATCCTGTAGGTAAGTAATTAAGTGGGTTCAGGAATTATGTTAAAGCCGAAGAAGTCCTATTCTTATTATTATGTTCTCATTATTTCACCCTAAACATCCACTTTTTAAAGAGAATTTGTTTTTATCGATGCTGGTTTTGATATTGAACCTGGATATCCAGCTATTGATGCACCTGGAGGTTTTCTCTTTGAATGGTGGTCTGTTTTCTGGGACATATTCATCGCCAGGACTAATGAGAAGCACTCAGAGGTTGCTGCATCTTATATTGAGGTTGGTTTTGATTTTATTTCACTTGTTCAATTGTAAACTGTCAATTTGTTTTGACTTTGTACTTGGTACATATAACCTAGCATCAACATTTCATTTTTGCATTGTTTGTTGGGAGAAGGGGCAGATGTGAAAGGGTTGGGTTTGAGTTTAAAGCCTATCTGCACTTCTGTTATGGTGTTCATTTAACATCACATTTCATATCCGTTAAATTGAAAGTCTAGGACATATGGTTGCACTTCTTGTCTCTGACAAAATCAGCTCTTTCCTTTTTTGAACTTTAAGTGGCAAAACGGTCCGCTTACCTCAAAACATTTAAATGGTAACCTGCTTTGGAATCAAGAGTAAGTGAAATTTTTTTCTTGAACACGTGTATACTGAGACAAGAAAACAAGAAAAAAATCAAGAAGACCTCCTTGTCTTGTGCTGTCTATGTCTTGTGTAAGTAATTTCTGGCAGTTTCCTTAGAACGAAGCTACATTGAACATGCCTTGCAGTTTATATCAGTGTGTTCTGGAGTGTTCATCTGTCTAACTAATTGTTGTATTTCTTGCCAATATATTATTGAGTATTTATTATTTTTTATTGATTTGTTGATAAATGACTACTCTGAGACATCGGTCCGGAACTCATGGTTTATTAGTTGGATGCTGCATATTGTTTTTTTTACATGGGAATTGGATTCTTTTCCTGAAGGCGTATTGCATATTGACCTTGTAGCTTAGTGCCCTATGAGAGCCTTTATGGGTTGCTTCTAACTAGTTGTTGTATTTCTTGCTAATATATTATTGAGTACTTATTATTTTTTATTGGTATGTTGATAAATGACTACTCTGAGACATTAGTCAGGAACTCGTGATTTATTAGTTGGACGTTGCATATTGTTTTTTCTACATGGGAATTGGATTCTTTTCCTGAAGGCATATTGTATATCGACCTTGTAGCTTAGTGCCCTGAGAGAGCCTTTATGGGTTGCTTTATTGCAGAACTGGCTAACTAATTTCGTCATTGAAAGTAAGGAAGCAATTGATGGCAGAGAAGTGTTTCGATGTTGAATTTTGTTAAAAATTGTAATTATTTACGCTGTACATATAGTGTAGATTATGAAATCGTCAAACCTTCCACATAATTTCTCCAAAAAGTATTTGATGCTTATGGTGCATTAATATTGCAGACACAGTTGCTTAAAGCACGGGAGCAGCAGCAACAGCAACAACAGCAATCTCAACAGCCTCAACATCAACAGCAACAGCAGCAGCAGCAGCAGCAACAACTGCAGATACAGCAGCTTTTATTGCAGAGGCATGCTCAGCAGCAGCAACAGCAACAGCAGCAGCAGCAGCAGCAGCAGCAACAACAACAGCAGCAGCAGCAGCAACAACAGCAGCAGCAGCAGCAACAGCAACAACAGCAGCCGCCCCAGCAGCCGCAGCAACCCCAACAGCGAAGGGATGGGTCTCATCTCCTAAATGGCAATACGAATGGACTTGTTGGAAATGACTCTCTCATGCGTCAGCCTGCTGGAACTGCTAATGCCATGGCCACAAAGATGTACGAGGAAAGACTGAAATTGCCACTTCAAAGGGATTCTTTGGATGATGCATCTATAAAGGTAGGTAAATCATCTTTGATTTCTTAGAAACGTGTTCTTTTAGTTGTTAACCATCTTAGGAACTCCTTACAGCAAAGGTATGGCGAGAATGTTGGCCAGCTCTTGGATCCAAATCATGCCTCGGCATTGAAGCCTGCAGCAGCAACCGGCCAACCTTCAGGGTGAGCTTTTTTACATTTCTTTTATTGCTCATGTAAGCACCTTTGACTGCAAATGTTTTTATAAAGGGCAACCTAAATGAATTCATATGTATGTTAACTAAGACAATTTACAAAAATGCTGCAGAGGGTTTTCAATATAATTTTTAGGGTAGCTCCGTTAAGTCCTGTGGTCAATCTGCTCTAACATAAATTTGAACCACTGAATGCTAGCAAAACAATTTTGAATTGTTTCACCTTCTTTTTCATTTGAAGTAGCCAGTCACACATTTATGGGTTGTTCAAGCATCCAATACTTAGTTGTTTACAGCAATAAACTTATTTGGCATTATGCAAATCCCAGGCAAGTATTGCATGGTACGGCTGGTGGTATGCCTCCACAAGTTCAAGTTAGGAGTCAGCAATTGCCAGGAACAACACCGGTAGGGTCACCTTAAATCAATCGCAATCACTTGTTGCTTCTGTTATTCATGTTCTGAAATTTTATCTGGAAGCAGGACATTAAGAGTGAGATAAATCCAGTATTGAATCCCAGAGCTGCGGCTCCAGATGCATCTTTAATAGGAATACCAGGTAGGTTTGTTTCGCTTTCTCAGGTTGTTCTGATTAAATTGCATTTTTCCTTTAAAAATAGCAAACTAATGATAGTATTAATTCAACTATTTTTTGCTTGTCCTTGTGATTTGCTGGGCTCGTTTTACTTAGAAACTTGGAAACTAAATAATGTGATTTTGTGCTTGTTTCAGGGTCAAATCAAGGCGGTAGTAATTTGACTTTGAAAGGTTGGCCATTAGCGGTAAGTTTTATAAAGATTTGCTTTACCCTAGAGTGATAACTCTTATTATTGTAGTTTTATCTATTTTGTATGCATTTGGGTAAATAAATTAATCTTTTTTTGAAATAATTTGTTTATGTTTGTCACCTGTATTATTGTACTCTTAAATTTTATTTGTCATCTAGTGTTTCTTTTGAATGGTCTTCATTTTCCATTTTTAGGGGCTGGACCAACTGCGCTCTGGGATCCTTCAGCAGCCAAAGCCTTTTATACAGGCTCCTCAGCCCTTTCATCAACTTCAGATATTGACACCACAGCAGCAACAACTCATGCTTACACAGCAGAATCTGACATCACCATCTGGCAGTGATGAAAGTAGAAGATTGAGAATGCTGTTGAGTAATAATCGAAACACGGGCCTTGGAAAGGATGGCCTGTCAAATTCTGTTGGTGATGTGGTTCCAAATGTATCATCTTTGCAGGCAGGCAGTCCGCACATGCCTCGGACAGATACAGATATGCTAGTGAAGGTATTACTGTCTCTGCAAAGTATGCTTTACCTCTTTTTCTCTTAATAGGAAATTTCTCATTACCCCTTCTTTTGTTAGGCTTTTTTTTTGTCACATAAGTTTTACTTTTATGATCTTTTTATTTCTTAGATATTTTGTTTGTCTTGTAGCTAAAATTGGCTCAGTTGCAACAGCAACAGAACAGTAACTCACAGCAGCAGCATGCACTCTCTAATCAGCAGTCACAGAATGCTAATCCAAGTCTACATCAACTAGATAAAGTTGGTGGAGGTGGAAGTGTCAATGTTGATGGTAGCATGTCAAACTCATTTCGAGGGAATGATCAGGTCTGCCCCTTTCTAGTTACCTGAATTCAACTTGCCAAAAGGATTCCTGGCTTAGTGTTTTATCTGCTTCCGTATGGCACCCTTGTGCAGTGTTACTTGTGGTGCATGGTCAGTATCGGCATGGTAGAGATTTATAATGTCCCTGTTGATGCCATTTCTATCTAATAGTCTAACTCAGCTTTTGAGTTTCCCGTTAAATCTCTTCCCCTCCCTCCTCCCCTCTTAGAATAGTGGTACTGGTTTTATTCAAAAATTTTGGATAGAACCATAAATGCTTTGTTTCGGTGTTGCTCTACCCTAAGTAGCTTCAAAAACCATACTGTTACTGTCCATATTTTTCTTTATAATACTTATCTGGTAAAAAATTTCAAGAATAACCTATAGTATATGATGTTAAGCTTTGAAACTTTTTTCTTTTTCTTGGTCAAGTGAGTTTGGATTGCATTTATAAGTTATTTTGCAGGGAGATGGAGGTGGATAGTAATTTAAAGTTGTTATTGACTTCTGATTCTTAGCCAAAGTAAATATCTGAGCAGTTTCCTAACATAATTTCCTTAATTCATTTTAAGGTTTCAAAAAACCAGAATGGAAGAAAGAGAAAACAGCCAGTGTCTTCTTCAGGCCCTGCCAATAGCTCAGGGACAGCAAACACAGCCGGACCGTCCCCAAGCTCAGCACCTTCCACACCATCAACACACACCCCTGGAGATGTGATTTCAATGCCTGCTCTGCCTCATAGTGGCAGTTCTTCTAAGCCTCTGATGATGTTTGGTGGTGATAGTGCTGTCACACTGGCATCTTCATCAAATCAGTTGGTGAGTCTATTATTTATTTTCCCATGTTGGTGGAGGAATTAAAAATTCCTTGCATTAATTCTCATTGGAATTCCATTTTGGCAGTGGGATGACAAAGATCTTGAATTGCAGGCTGATATGGATCGGTTTGTGGAGGATGGATCGCTTGATGATAATGTTGAATCTTTTTTATCCCATGATGATACGGATCCTAGGGATTCTGTTGGCCGATGTATGGATGTCACTAAAGGTGTGTAAATATAACTTTTATGGTTGTTATGATTTGTTAAATCCACTGTCGTTGGGAATCTTATATAGCCTCTTTTGTTGAACATTGTAGTTTCATTCTGTTAAGACTTTTTTTGTGTGCAATATTGTTCTTAAATTCAATATGATAATTTGCTAATTCTTGTCAAATGTTTATAGTAACTGATAAATCCTTGTTGGAATTCACCAAGTATTATTAAGCAAACATCGTAAATCTCATTAAACTTTGTAAATGTTGGTGTTATTCTCACTGAATTATTATTTAAATGTTGGTGATTGCTGCTAATTTCATGATCTTGCCACATTGGTTTATATATATATATTTTGATGTTTGAGGTTGTCAAGGGTTGAACCTTGATCACTGGAACCAGTAGTCTAGCATTCTACCGATAGATCGCACAGTTGTTGGCCGATTTGGTTTATATAGCATAATTCTAATTGAATTTGCCAAAAGAAGTGCAATTGTATGGGCGCTTGCATCTATCCTTATTTGTAATCATAAGGGATACGCATTCATCTTATATTCTATTATTATGTTACTACATAATATAAGTGGATTAGTTGTTTTACAGTTTACCGAATTTGAATTGCTTCAGGTTTCTCATTTATGGAAGTAAATTCTGTTCGAGCAAGCAGTAGCAAAGTTACTTCTTGTCATTTCTCATCAGATGGAAAGTTGCTTGCTAGTGGTGGCCATGATAAAAAGGTGAGTTCCAAGAGGGGAGATGGAATTTTAGGAACTTTGAAATGTTAGTTTATAATGGGTTTTCGTTTTCTAGTCATGGTAAGAAGTGAAATCATTTGCCTTTTTTTTTTTTTTTTTTTTGGCAATGCAGGCTGTATTATGGTACACAGACACTTTGAAGCCAAAGTCTACGCTTGAAGAACACTCAGGTTTGATTACTGATGTTCGATTCAGTCCAAGCATGTCACGACTTGCAACTTCTTCATTTGACAAAACTGTCAGAGTTTGGGATGCTGACAGTGTTAGTGGACATTTTAATTTTCTTTTGCTCATGATTGTTTTGACTTTTGAGCTAATCATGTATTTTGGAACTCATGCATGATGTGCCCGTATAGTTATCCGTTAACATTTTCATTTAAAACAGTGTGTGCATGTTCATGCTATTGTCATTCTAAGTGTTATTTCTTCTGGATTGCCATCTAATCTGCATTAATTTGCAAATTTTATTTTTTGTCATTTATTAGCATGGTGCGACCAGTTTTTTCTCATAATTTATAGTTTAATGCATGTGTGGATATGTGTGGGTTTCTGGGATTGGTTTCTGATTCGTACTAATAATGCAGTAAGCACCATATAGAATGAAAGAAAGTTCTTTGTTATGATTGTGTACAATATTTCAAAATCTAGTAAACATGTATGTAGTATTCTTTGGGATGCAAACTAGGTTTCTGTAATGAGAAACTGTTCAGTATTCACTGTTCATGATAAATAAAAATTCTTACTGGAAAAGTAGTTCATACTTTTAACACTTTCACTGTTGCTGTTCTTTCAGGGTTGTATGCTTCTGTTTGAATTCTAGGTTGGATCAACCTTTGATCCTGGTGTTGTTAAATTTGCAGCTGTGGTAACATAGGAAATATGTTGTGCTTTGAATGTCTGAAAATGAAAGATGGTGTTGTATTTATAAAATGAAGTAAATCATGTGCCTGTAGTGAATTACGATGTTTGTCTAAGAAATTGATCAAAATTCAATAAGAAATTATGCTGAATCCTTTAGCATGTACTTATTTGTCATGTTCTATACTAGCATTTTCATATGTATGATGACCTATACCATGTTCCATTCAAAGTGATTGAAAGGGTACTGTTTTGGTGGCTGCATTTTCTCTCTCATACTCACTTTTAAAGCCTTTTTATGCTGTTTCATGGATCTGTTCTTTGAGAATCTCCATTTTTCTCTTTGAGAAGGGGTAGGGGTGGGTGGGTTGCCTCCAAAGGATTTTTTAAAAACATTTATCGAATGTAATTAGGTATTTCCTTCACTTTGTCCACAGCCTGGGTATTCACTTCGTAACTTTGTGGGACATTCTGGTAATGTTATGTCACTTGACTTCCACCCAACTAAAGATGATCTTATCTGCTCTTGTGATTGTGATGGTGAGATACGATACTGGAGTATCACCAATGGGAGCTGTGCAGGAGTTTTCAAGGTATGATCTTGCATCAGATTAGCTGGCAATGCCGATAAATTGAATTCAGGCCTCTCTCTTTGAGGTGGATGTGCGACTATTAAGATTGTTTCCTTTGTGTGGATCAGGGTGGTACAGCCCCTGGTACAGCCCAGTTGAGATTCCAACCTCGCCATGGAAAATATCTCGCTACAGCTGCTGAGAATGTTGTATCCATATTGGACACAGAGACTCAAACCTGCCGGCACTCATTACAGGTGAATAAATCAACATGGATTATAAAAGAAATATATAAGAAATTCTAAGGAATTAGCTGGAAACAAAAAGAAGTAAAAAGAATAAAAAGGAAAGCAAGTCATTATCAGTTTGCTTCAGGTGAGGAAAAATGTATGTGCATAAATGATATAATAAGCAAGGGCTTCATTTTTGAGTAATAGATGCTGTCTTCTTTTGGAAATGAAGTAAACCTATTAGAACTGGTGAAGATTTTCTTATTTGAATTTTTGAATGGGGCTCCTAGAATATAATAAATAATGAGTAATTTGTAACAGTGCATTCCACTTAATTTCAACTACCGAGAAGTGTCAATTTGTTTCTTGGAGGGATTGATCGCTGCTATGGTCAAACTGATGTGTATGATTTCAATCTATGGTTTGGGTCAAACGGATGAATGCTTTAGAAAGCCCTATTAAACAATATTTTTCCTATCGCTAATTAATTTTTCTTGATATTTTAGATTGAAAGATTTGCTTCATTGGTCATGCATTTCGAGGTTTGACAACAAAATATTTTGGACTAGCCAATTAGTGCGATAATTAGGGTTCCAATGAAGCTTTAAGTGCACAGATAAAGAAATTAGGATCAAGATTTTTTTTCATTCTTTTCTAGTAATGTTTCAAGCTACTGTATTACAACTAGATCGGTGTGCTAGTTCAAATCTTCTGATTTGGGTCACCAAAGTTATAAATGTGCTACTGACATAAGCCTAGTGGAACTGTGTCTTGTTGTTTAGTGACCAAGTACAAGACTGAAAAAAAGATCCAATGATGGTCACATATGTTTCATTGTGTGGAATCATATAGGAAATTTTGCCCTTGCTGTGTTGCTGGTGGTTTTTCTCTTTGGAATTCTATCTGTACATAGGTATAAGAATTAAAATAAAGTTTTCTGCTTTTTTCCTCTGCTGCAGCATGACTGACTTCCCTTTGACTTTGGATTTGTAATAACAGGGACATACTAAACTGATCCATTCTGTATGCTGGGACCCTTCAGGTGAGCTTCTAGCATCTGTCAGTGAGGACTCTGTTAGAGTTTGGACCTTTGGCTCAGGGAGTGAAGGGGAATGTATTCATGAATTGAACTGTAATGGCAACATGTTTCACTCCTGTGTTTTCCATCCGACATATTCATCGCTGCTGGTCATTGGTTGTTACCAGGTAAGTAACTTTTTCTTTTTGTTGTTTAGCATGCATTTGTTTATTTGATATTATTATACCTTCTATGATATCTTCTCGGAGCCTGTTTAAGTAAACATACATGAAGCAGACCTGCATGAATAGTTGATTGTCCACGTGGGGTCTGAAATTTTGGGCCTTTTGAGTCCTGCTCGTTCCATGTTGAGTTAAATTACTCGTCAATTAGTTTGATCTTTCTGCTGCAGTCTTTGGAGTTATGGAATATGGCGGAGAATAAGACTTTGACTTTGCCAGCTCACGAAGGACTAATAGCTGCATTGGCTGTATCACCTGTGACCGGGCTGGTTTCTTCCGCCAGTCATGACAAGTTTGTTAAATTGTGGAAGTGATACAATTGCTAGTAGACTTCCCACTTAGACTCAGCTGGGAAATACACGTTAGTTTTTTAATTTGCTAGTTTTTGGCTGTTTTGGTTGCTCAATATGATCCATTTTGTGGTTTGTCCCAATTTCAGCACCCCATAACCCAGTAACTAACGTCGTCTGTTGTTGTATGCATGTTGTGTAACCTTGTATTGTTAACTTGGACATTCCTGCTTAAGTTCATCGACTCTTTTCTAATGTTTTGTTGGTACGGATTCAAATCCTATCCTTTTGGTGTTTCTATTGGAGACACTTCTTCATGGATAGATAAGATGCCACCTCATTGAACGTGAAGATTTGAAGCTATGGTCGGAAATATCTTGCTAGATTTTGCTGAAACTCTAGATAATGCTCTCCTGGAAGCATTATAATTGTATGGCTTACCAAACTGCTTTGCAACTTCAAAAAGGTCACTTTAGTTCGAGAGAATTATGAGCCGAAGACACTATATCTGAATCACTTTAAAGATAAAAAAGTATAACACTGATATCTGAATTTTGCTCTTTAGGTATAGAAGACACTATCATTCCTACTTTTAATAAATGCCGAAAGAGAAAGTAGCATTGCATAAGAAGGTTGTACAGTAAATTGTTATGTAATTTGTTAATAAAATATGAAAATTTTGGTTTTCATGATTAAAGTTTAATTCGTGATAATCTTTTGTGTCTATATATATATATATATATATTTTTTAAAAAAAAAAGTAGGTCCTATTTTTTAAAAATGTATTGTAAGGCTTCGGACGATAATCTATTAGTCGACTTTAAATGAAGTGGCTCGCTGATGCAAGACATAGAAGGCTCTTGGAAAGTGAAGAAGCGATCGAACTAAAAATCTAGCACCCAACCAAACCGTATTAGTAGCTAGGAGAAAAGCAGTAGAAGAATGGGTTAGAATTCTCAGGATTCCGATTATCAAGTTGACGACAAATTCAAAAGATCTGGGGCGAGTAACTGATGGATGGCAAAGTTTGTGCAAGAGGGTACGAGAGGCTTGTGAGACTTAATGGTTGTTTCCAAGTGCTATATGATAAGATTTCAAGCCATCTTTGAGACGATACCTTTTCCTTGATAAGGGAACATTTTAATCTTCCATTGGAGGCTAAGAGGAAGAATATTAACCCAAAGCCTTTGCATGGCCACTATGAATCGGTGGAGAATTTCTTCCTTTCTATGAAAGCTTTCACTCTTCTTATTTTGATAAAAAACCAAGCAAGATTTGGTTCATTTTATTGATGTTTGGCTAATTTGTTGTTTCCCTCTTTTTTTTTCTTTGTTCTACTAGCCAAACTATTAACACTTAGGTGAAGGAATTGGACGAGCTGAGCCATATGATTGGTTTTGATGATAATTGATGGTTACGGGTTGGGAGAGAAACCAGAGTCGTTGATGGCACGTTACCAGCTTCTGAGTGATGAAATATTTGGCCCCTCCATCCGGGGAGTATACAAATGTGGCCTCGCCTCGTACCGAAAAATTTTGCAGAGCACTCCTTTGCGAGGATAGGATTTCAGGGCTTGAAATTGAAACCAAAGACGGACAGTTGGTCAAGTTGTGCATATCCCCAGCTTCCTTCGTCTTTATCGTCGGAGCTCTTCTCACGGTAATGATATCAACATTTACTTTTCTAGCTGCCTTATCTACTTCGTCTCTATCATGTTTATTTTTCTTCCCTTTCTACGAGAGTAACATATAAGGGAAATCCTAATTTTTTTTTGTCCGTTTAGTTATGATTGTAATTCAAATCGGAGATCCTTAAATTTAAACTCGGCCTTAATACCATTGAATTAATAGTTCATTGGTGAAAAATTCTAATATTAAAGTGCAAGAAAAAAATATCATTGCGTTAGTCAAAAAATGAGAGCTTGAATTCTTATCATTGAAAATTTTATTATTTAGTTATTAGTATATTTCCCTTGGTTTCAGATTTGGACCATTTTTAGAGCATAATTATATATAGAACAAAATTTATACATTGGCATGAACTTCAGCGGCCACCCCCACCAACCCCTTTGTGGAACAACTTGATGTATGTACATTGGTGCGGTTCCGCCTGAACTGTGAAAAAGCTAGAACTTCACCTTTTTTTTTTTTTTAAATCTTAATTAGTTGTATTTTAAAAATTTATAAATTAAGATCACATTTACCACAACATTTGTTTAGGATTGAATTTTTTCATTGAATTTTAATTTTAATCGAATTTTGATTCTATATTATCAATGAATTTTTTTCATTAAAAAGTAACAAAATTAAAATATTTTACCAAATATTTAGTTGACAAATTTTCGTCAATCTTTTTATAACTTTTTGTTCAAAATCGACAAAATTAAAATTGTATTAATTGATAAATTTATAATATTTATTTGAATGATCCAAAATATTAGAGCTAGTTATATTGATTCAAGAAATAAAATTCCCCTTGCAACTAATGGAAGAATGCATGCTGCCAACCATAGGGCGATATTGAGTGGAGACAAAGATTAGTATTCTTTGGGAGCATTTGCAGTGCCTGTGGAGGGAACAATCATCAAGGCACCAAAAGGGATGGTAGATGACGAACATCCTCAAATTTTCAAGGATTTTGATTTCATGGATTTCGTCAATTATGCAAATTCAGGGGGATCATTGCTAATAAACTCAGCAAAGAAGCTGTTCATATATGCAGCTCAACCAGGAAGTTAAGTGTAAAAGAAAAATGTTAAAAGTCGAAATGATGACAAGGTTTATTATATATCCAACGACGAGATTGAGTAGATAAAAATGATATATGTGTTAATTTTTTAATATTATTTATTGAATTAAAAATTTAAATTGATAGTATATCAAATACCTAACTCTTTATTTATTTACAAGTTATTATTGTGTCTACTTGGATATATTAATATCAAACAATAAATGTAGGGCAAAAGTTAATAGTGCTCATGATAAAAAGGGTTTAGGCATGGCAATGCATGCAACTCTATTTTGATTACTAAGACAATAAGTAATTTTTACCTATCTTTTCTGCTTATTAGCATGGCAATATCTCAGCCTAAATAATGTGATGTGTTTGTAGAAGATGCATGAGCATGCAATTGCTCCAGGGGATTTATAAAAGCTAAAAATCTATTGCAAAAAAAAAAAAAAAAAAGAACTTGGGTTTTGATGATATTATGAAAGATGGTTAAAAAGTAAATATGTATTGTTTAAACAATCTTCAACCACACCATGTGCTAATTAATTTTGGATTTCGATCTAACAAAGCTTTAAGGTATGGTCTTGGTGACTTTCATCTTTTGAAGCGAGTCAACGAGCAGAATGATCGAACTCAATAAATCCTTTTGAAGCTACAAATCATGTTGCTTAAAACATTAGTAGTAATGAATTAAAAATACAACTAATTGTCAAAAACAATTGAATAATAATTATACTTCAAGAACAAAAGAATAAAACTTATTAAGGCTCTTGGTTGCGATTAACTTGTGCAAATTCGATTGACAATATAAACTTTGATTCATTGAACGCTGGGATGTTTACATACTGCCAAACTTAATAACCAAAAGCTGGTTATCATCAGGGGCGTTGTTAGGGGGTTGGCATCCAAGTTTTTTTTACACCATTGTAGCACGATATCTCTTTCCACCAAAAATAATGTTTGGCCCTTTCTTTTCTACTAAAATTATTATTTGATTCTTCTTTTCTGGTATTTCTGGCTTTCTCTCTGATTGTAAGAGAATGTTGTTCGTGAGCTTGAACAAAATCAAATAATCTTTAAGGAAGGCTTGAAAGAACAAGGAAATTAGAAATGATTGAAGTTGCATAACTTTGAGTTGCTGTGCTGGATTGAGTGTGTAGGTATTGCTTCCTTGAACTGCAAGCAGCGCCCCCAATTTATAGTCCTTTCAACGGTAGCTTCCACTATTCTTGGAACTCATTCTACTACATAAGGCCCAAGCAACGGCAAGTGGTCGTTATCTGCACAAAATCAACTTTCTGATCTCCTTCCCCTTATATTTTGTTGAATATTTGAAGTTCAACTTTCGACTGCTTCTTTTCTTAACTAACTCTTTTATGCGTCTTCCCCTTTTATGTCTGACAAAGAACTAAATCCGGCTTACTTGGATTAAATCTTTACTTGATCACCTTAACCAATCCGAGATAGCTGACTTGGATAAACCTGCCACTTGTCACTCGTTAATTGTTTTAAAAATCCTTGACTAAAATATCATTTGGCCGATTTTGACTTAAATAGGCCATATGTATTTATATGACTGGATAACCAATTATCATATCATCTATTATACCAAGTAACTCTTAGTTGGCCGCTTTGTACGTCCCTCGTTGACAACAGTGGCGTAATTAGAAATTGGTGTCCGTGGAATCAATATTATAAATATTTTTTTTGTTTATTATATATATTTTACTTAATACAACATTTAAAAAATTAAATATAGAAAAAAAACTCATTATATAATATAATTTTTAAATATATACATATTTTCTTATAATTTATCCAATGAAAATTTATCTCAATGATTTATTAACAGTGTTATAATTTTTTTTAAATTTTTTTTCTCATACCAATAAAAAAAGCAAGTAGATACAATACTTTTTTTTTTTGTTCTTTTATAATTATTAAGGATATATAATGGTCAAAAAAGCATAATGATCTTTTTTTTTTTAATTTTTAGTAGATAATCAAAGTTATCTTGATCATTTGTACTGACTTGACATATTATATTGATCTAATACTTTCAGTGTCACTTTAGCTCGAACTAATCCTAATTATTTTTTTTTTGTCTCTTTAAATTTACCTATAAATATAAAAATTTAAGTATTATGAAACAGGGTTAATCTAACTCATATTTTTCTATTCTTTCTATTTTTTTTTTTTGATCTAACCTTTATTGACTTGCATATCAAAATGCAAATATAAGAAACACTTTTTATTTTTATCTCTAATCGTCCTTCTCTTCTGTTTTTACAAAAATATTCTCAAGTCTTATTATAAATCTAAAATACATGAAAAACAAATTACTCTATAAGTAAATTAAAATATAAAATTTTAAATTACATAAAAAATTAAGATAAGCATATAAATTTACTCACAAAAAATTTTAAAAAGAAAGAAATTTGAAATGTAATTAAACTTGAACAACGTGAAAGCAATGCACCTAGCTTTGAATGAGAAATCACGATAGAAGAGAGACCTTTCGGAGAACAAACCAATTTCGGCATGTATTATATCTCGTATTTTTATACATGAAAGAAAAAAAATCCAAATAACACTTAGGACACCCCACCACCTAGCTTGAAACCAATGCTATCCCTGCAACTTTCTATTATTACCTAAAGTCACATAATATAAGAAAAAGGAACACTGACAATCCCTAGAACTATACACCATGATACCTACGTTTGAAGAGCTCCTTCCTTTCTCCTTTTTTCCTTTTTTTTTTTTTTTTTGTTCCTTGGCTCTCTATTTTTAATTCTTTCACAGCAGAGCCCAAAAGCACAATGGATATGACCTAAACTATCAATAACCACAAGAATGAGTAAGAAAATCATTCGACATCTCCTAAAAGCTGACCTAGTGTCCATGTGACGTTTGAAACCCTTAGCCAATAAAACAACATACCATGAGTGTTGCGAATATTATTATTTATTAAAACAGTAGACCACATGCAGCAACAAAGAAAGGATGAACTTGAAGACCATCTATGATAGTAACAGAATATATGAAGAAACAAAAATGGTCAACATGAAGGCCATTAATAAAATTAATTGGTCACATGCAGGAACAAAAAAAAAAAAAAAAAACAAATAAATGGCGAGCATAGAGGGATGAAATTTGATTTAAAAACTTTTTGCCGCAGCAACAAGAGTCATTGGGTTCTCTATGATTTCCTACAATTTTTTCTTTTCCGGACAAGAAATCGTTCATGGACAATCAAGAAGAAAGAAGATACCAAGCTAGGGAGATGACATAAGAAAACAAGTGGGAAAAGCCTTGTTTAGAAGCTCTCCTTTCTTTCTTTTCTTTATTTATTTTTTTATTTTCTCGCCTCTTCAAGAATCAACTTATTCTTTATGTTTTCCTGAAATTTCCTTTATCAAAATAGGGAATGGGACACTAGAAAACATGATTTACGTACTAGGCAACTTCAAACTTTCATAGGCACCAAAATAACATAACCAGGCCCCCTCCCCCACGAAGAACAGTTTGGCCTCTCTCCTTTTTTTGAACCAAAAAAAAATGTAAAACCATCATTAAATTCCTTTTCCCTACACTTCAAATAGTTTTCAGTTATCAAAGTGAAAGAAAATTGTCTAAAAGAGGAAACTTTCATGAACTTCTATGCAAACCAATCACACGCAGAGGGAAGAGAAACAAAGTGCAGCTACCATACTGGTATTTGACGCACGGACAAAAACCACAGGCTAAGCAGAAAATGAATTGATGCGAGACTTGTATTCGAAGTCATTTTTCTATTTCATGTACTGCTGCAGTAAGAATTTCAGAACAAAACCACGTCTTTCACTTGGAAACAAACGTATAGGGAAAGAGACATGGATTATTTATTTATTAGTATATTATTATTATTATTATTATTTTTTACAAAGAAACAAAGCTGGAACTTTATGATGGAAAGTGAAACAAAACCTAGTTTAGAATCCTCCATATGCAGACCCCTATTATTTTATTTTGAAGGCCATTTCACTGTTAAAAGCAACTTCTTTTAACGCCTCAAACAACATTAAACCGGCATGACTAAGGGCTGCGAAGTCCATGAACTGCTTTTTTTCAT